CCTCCTCTCTCCTCCTCCTTCCTCCCTCCTCCTCCTCCTTCCTCTCCTCCTCCTCCTCCTCCTCCTCCTCCTCCTCCTCCTCCTCCTCCTCCTCCTCCTCCTCCTCCTCCTCCCAGGGCCTGTGAGAAAGAGAGTCCACCTCAGCCTTGCACAGAGAGGGCAGCACTTGCAGACTGAGTAGCCGACCGACACGCCTGGCACGGGAGTGGCTCCAAATGGCATTGCGCACCAGCGTTTTGAGGTCCCTGTTTTCGAACGGCGCGATCCCATTGGACCTCAAAGCCTTCAGAATGATGCTAAAACACAGCATGTTGGAACTGACGAGCGGAGGGGGATCACGATCAGCGGCCAACTCGTCCGCGGTGGACATTGGGTTACCTGTTGCCTCTGGGCCTGCATCAGTCACAGGAAACATTCTACGAAACACGCCTCCCTCCACCAGCTTGGAGTAGGCTTCCCTCCCCAGCTTTCTAAGCACAGCCATATGCAGGAGTGTCTTCAACATCCCAGGAGGCAGCTGCGCCGCCGAGAGCGTTCTGCCACGATCATCCACGAAGGTGGCATGGCCGACCATGTCCCATCCGATCCCTACTCAAGCTCAGGAACATCGCGCTCATCGGTCCCGAGATCGTTCTCCAGGTCAGGGAAGCTTGCTGAAACTGAAAAGAACGATCCCCTGGAGTCCTTGATCAAGTTCCAGTCAAGAGTCCCAGGAAAGACACGAGTGCGAAGCAAATAAATCTCCTTGCAAAACCTCTGAACAAGAGCCCCATACCACGCAGGACGGTGCGAGAGTCTATGGCAGCCGAGGGCTTGATAACAGAGGCGGCCATGCGTCTCAAGTTCATCTTTTCCCCATCCGCGAATCGGTGTGCCTCTCCTCCATACGTGAAGCAATGCAACGGGCCAGTGCAAAACAAAGCATTGCCTTGCGACCAAAATGAGTGTTGGTCTTCCAAAGGTGCATGAAATTTCTAGGCAGCTTAGCTTTCGTGTCGGACCTGATAGTGAGCCTTCCTTTACCCAGAAGGGGAGGGCTGTCGAATCATCACATCCGAAGTTGACCGCAGAACCCTCCAAGCTTCCGCAGGGCACCGGAACATCTTCCACCTCTCCCAATCGACGGACAAGAGTTGGTGAGAGAGACTTGGTTCAGAGCCACGTAGCATACAGGAGGGAGGACGCCATCTCCACAAGCCTATTGATAGCCAAGCTCGTGCTGCCAATGGTCGACAAACAGATGTCATCAGTGTACGCGTCGAACGGCGAAAAATCCCTGGTCTCCTTGTCGATGGTTCTGATCCTCATGGACCTTGGCACCGAGTCGAACGCATCGAGGACATGCACACGAATGAGGGTGGTGGCCATGCTGCACCTAGCAATGACCCGAAGCGCGGCGTGCAGCGCGCTCGAACAGATACCATTGAGAAAAACACGGCGGGAGGAGCGATAGGCCGAGAGGCCCACAGTAAGGACCCCCATGGTAAAGGAGTGTTTGAATCATCGCACCTCGAAGGCCACAAGGTCAATCCGTTCGTAGCACTTAGACATGTCCCATGGGGGACCGAGGCCGAGCGGCCGCCCCCTCTGACACCAGCTTCAGACTGGAAGGCTCGACGCCACGCACAGCTCAGGTTCCCGTGAAATCTTCCCCGCCGCGAAGTACTCCTCTTCGTCCTCCTCCTCCTCCTCCTCCTCCTCCTCCTCCTCCTCCTCCTCCTCCTCCTCCTCCTCCTCCTACTCCATCGCCTCTCGGGCTTCCGCCAAGGGCCTACGCGCACGCCCCAAGAGGCGGTAAGCCGAGGGACAAACCCCATTGGGTCGGTATCATCCCCTCTCCTCCGAGAGAAGAGCTGTGATCACAGCAGAGAGTTGAAACGGCATGATCCCTGATCTCTCCATGAGAGCTGCGCAATCCCAGACTCTCGTCATTGAGCAGAGAGGAACGCCTCAAGTGGAAGCCATCGTAGGACACGGCAAGCCTCTCGGGATATTTGCGATTGCGTTTGCAGAGGTCGGAGACCGAAACCGAGGGGAGAGGATAAGACTCTTTACACCTAAGCTTCGGGGTTGGACTGCCTGACACGCCATAGTCAACCCCGAAACCTTGGAAATTCCCTCATCCAGAAGATGTCGATGATCCGAGACCAGCTGCCCCGCCGCCGAGAGCGTGGTGGCGGAGCGCCACACCCGAGGGCCTTTGAGGGAAGAATTGAAATTCCTGGCTCGTCGGCCCAGCTTAGCAGTCAGCCACACGTGCCAGTCTGTCCTCGCAACCTCTTGGCAGTCCTTGATGCAGGCCGCGAGAACCTCACGCTGCCTGTCACACAAGGTCAACATGCAAGAAAAAAGCGTTTCCCTCGATCGAAGTTGCAAAGAAAACATTGGGAACGAAGAAAGGGCTCGCCTGAGAAGCCGCACCCGATTACGGCGTCGGCGTTGGCCGGGTGTCCAAGGAAAGCAACTCATCTTCAACAGGCTATTGGCCTAAATCCTCAAAAGGGTCACGCTCTGTACAGTCGAGGATCACGCTCGGCACAATCGAGAAAGTCGCCCAGAGCACTCACTTCCGCCTCTCCCGCCTGAGGCATCTTGAGAAACTGGCGGGAGTCCGAGAAGGCAGAGCGCAGCTGGTCCTGACGGCCAGCCGCCACCTCTAGTTGACCATCGCACTGAATTTGAGGGCCCGAGAATGGAGGGCCCCCTAGGTTCGACATCATAGCGACGTGAAAATAGGAGCTCCCATCAGAGGTTTCCCTGGGGGCACTGCTGGCACCAGCAGTCGAGACAACAGGTTGACTAATCCTCTCCCCCTCCACCCACTCCTCAAGAACTTCCTTGAGCAAGGCTGCTCCTGCTTGGGGACCTAACTGGAAGAGAGGATGGCGGCAATCAAGGCCTCAACCACTCGACGCTGAGAGGCAGGGAGTTCACTGGCTGGGGCGAGCTGAGCTAAGGCCTTGAGACGGGAGCACACACACACACACACACACACCTCATGGCCCTCAACTCAGGATAGCGGCAAGTCTCCTCATTCTTGTCAGAACGGATTTCCACACAATTTGAGGACCCTTACGCCTGGACCCCAGGACCGCCAAGTCCTTCCAAATCTGGCGGTCAACTCTCCCTCAGAGCAGGTGACCCACGGTTTGTGAGCAAGGCTGAGGGTCTTGGAAATCTCCACAGCATCACCAGACTCGAGAGCTTTTTCACATTTGCCCGGATGGGCTTGCCCGAAGGAAAACTCACTTGGCTTGGGGGCGACTCCAGGCTGTAGAACCACAGGGAGGGGAGGGGGCTTTCGGAGCCCCAAAGCTTGAGACGGCACATCTGTGGGTGGAACTTGACGTCCACCGCGAAGTGTGGGGGGGGGGAACTCCGCCTCCGAGTTCATCGTCACAGACTTGGTCCCGAGAGCCATGCCATTAGATAGCGAGTAGTAGTCATAGCATGACTGCTTCGCGGTCAAACACGTGGGGCTATCGGTGGTGATCAATTCCCTCTGGCACTTTTCCAAGATCCCCAGGTCTGAAACCGTCTCGGGCTTCATGTTGTAGTCACCTCCCACAACGCAAGCCATGCCTTCCAAAATTAGGATGGTACCTACAAACGAGCTCGGTCAGACGATCCGTGACCCCCTCCGAGCCGCAGCCGTAGAACGAAAAAAACACCATCAAGGCCCCTCCAGGAAGATGCGCTCGAGCCCCCAGGGCCCTACCAGGGTAAATCATGAAAGGCGAGTGAAGCCCCATGAATTTCTTCGCCAGGATGGTCACTCCGCCCGAAGTTCCACCATTTGACGTACGAATCGCTGGTTCCCACAGAAGCTTCCACCCTTGGTTGGTGCAGCCCCTGGAAACATGAGCCAACACGTCAGGGTCCACCAGGTGGTCCTCTTATTCAAGAAAAATCCCGGGCTATCGCAGGCGTTTGCCTGCTCGTTCGTGGCTTCTTGGAGCCTCTTGGAGGCCGTTTTGATTGGATTTATTTTCCGATGAACATAGTACATGAGATGAAGACGTTGACGGCAACCAATCTCGCAAGACGCCCCAGCTTTTGCAATTATCTTACGTGATTACAAGTTCCAGGGGGTCGTCGATTGGCCTGGGACCTGGACCTGGAAGACCGACCTCAGGATCCTCTTACAAATATGCCCTCCAAAACTGGGTCCGAAAGCTTCCCCAGAATTACAAAACTTGGCCCCCCTAACAGGTCGGAAATCCTGAGGGCAAACGGCGACATTACCAGGCCTAGACGATACAGAAAGCCTGAGGTTCTTAGTCACCTCTCCCGCCACATCTGGATTTGAGTGGCGGGGGAGACGGATTGGGAGAGCTTGGTAAGGTGATCATTATGTTCTTGACGTACTGACTTGAAATGTTCAGACGTTTCTTCAGATAGTTGTTCGGCCATGTCTCTAAGCCCGTTCTGCAATTCGTTCGTCCGTGAATCCAGTTGGGCATGGTCATTTGGAGACAGCTAGAACTCCTTGGGCATGTCGGCGAAGGGGTCGTCCTTGAGCTCAAACGTGAACTCCTCGGCCTCCACTAAAGATTTGAGACTGAGGGAAGGACCCGAGGAGTCTGCTCCCATGGGCTTCTGAGAGACGACCTCCGCACTGATGTGTGTCACAAGTTCCGTGTAGCTCCTCGCGTAGTCGTCAAGTTCGTCTCCAACAGTTGCGACGGTTTCTTGCAAGGCTACCATGTCCGACCTCCAGCGGCCCATGTTGTCGAGCTCTGTTGAAAGGCGAATATTTCATTGTTTAATCTTACTCTGGGCCTGTGACTCCTTCGTATGGAGAGAGGCTTGAGGACGAGTGTTGGCTTTTGCCGCCTGCACCAATTTGTCACGCTCCACCAAATATTTGTTTAACAGCTCATGCTGCCCTTGACGGGTCGCCAAGTCAGCCAAGGTTTGGAGATTTTCAGATGCAAGGCCGTCGGTCGCGATGGTGGAGGCCTTGGGAGGAACGAGGGGCGGCCAACTCTCGTAGTCGT